GCTTTGAACTTTCTCATTATTACAACTATGTAATTCATATTCTCTTTTATTATTGTTTTTAATTTATAATATTTTTATTTTATATATATATATATATATATATTTTCAATGTCATTTGATACGATTGCAATTTTTTTAATTTTACATATTAAGAAAAAATCATGAATTAGGATGTATGATTTCAATTACTAGGTTTTTTAAAAATTTTTTTTATCATATTTGGAAAATTTTAATTTTATTCAAATTAAGTGTTATAAATTCAAAATTAAAATAAATTGAGACTTGTATATAATTTATGTGTTGAATCTGAATTCATGTCTTGGCAACTCTGCAAATAAATTTCTGGTTCTGTCTATGTCTCTACTCACTAGGGTTGGACAAATAACTTGAAATCCCATAAACCGAACCAACTTGATTTTTTTGGGTAGGGTTAGTTCAATTCTTTGGATGACCTGAGCCTAATTCTAGCTCTTAGCTGGGCACATATGTGGCCACAGAACCTGTAATTCGCCATCCGTCCGCCAGATTGGCGGATTGGAGAAAATCAATCCACATCCATTCGCCAATCCAGAGGTTGCAAATTTAGTAGATTGGCGGATTGGCGAATGGATACGAATCGGTTTGGCGATTTAAAATTTTACAAATTTTCAACATAATTCAATTGTGCACTTCCTTAAAAAAATAACCTGGGCATAATTCAATTGTGCACTATCAAATATATTACAACAAACATTGTGCATCCAAACAATAGTCACAGAACACAGGTTGAGATTACCTAGAACACAGTCATAGAACATAGGTTGAGAAGCCCTAATTACTGAAAAAGCAAAACATCCCATTTACTCAAATGAAAAATATATTGTTGGCTTCAAAATTCAATAAAATTTTCAATGGTTCAAACTCAAAATCACATGACAGATATATGACACATTTTGTTGCATTTTGATAAAACAAAATCAAAACTATAAATTAAAAAAAACAGAAGAAAAAAATGGAAGTTCATTCATTGATTCATTGATACGAATCAATTCATTATAGAACCAAAAAAGTTCATTATATCTGTGATGTTTAGTCCCCTGTTTTCAACTCCATTACAGAACCAAAAAAGTTCTAACCAACACCTCACACATTAATATGTAAAATAAATAAATCTTATTTCCAGTCAAACTGTATATAAAATATAGAAACCCACAAAACCCCAGAAATCAAAAACCTGTAAATCTAATTAAACAACAAGTGTATATAAAATTTACCTCAGACTCACATCCTGCAATCACCTCTTTTCAGAGAGCCATTGAAAGGAGAACTAGGGTTACAAAAACATGAAATGAAAAAATGAGGGCGAGACAAAGGGAAAAAGGGAAAAAAATAGAATCGACGAGCGGCAGGCAGGTGGGTCGGGCATACGGATGGAAGTGGTGGGTTACCCGTTACCTGACCTAGATCTGCGAAATCAAAATGTTTGGGCCCGTATCCGCCCGCCACGTGTCACGCATCCACCCAAAACATCACCGGTCGGGTCGGGTCGGTCGAGTTTGGCAGGTCCAAGCATCCGCTGCATAGCCCTGGTTCTTAAGTACTATTTGGTTCACTAGAGTACAATGGAATGGAATGATTATTTTATTAAAATGTTTATTTCCATGTCTAGTTGAATACTAAAAAATCAATGACAAAGTGCATTACAAATGGAATCATCCTTTATCATTTCAAGGGAATGATCATTTCATTTGAGAGCCTAAAGAATGATCATTTCGTTCAATACCATCTCATTCCAATGAACCAAATAGAACATTAGTGTTAAAGTCAAGGTCAAGGTCAAGGTCAAGGTCAAGCTCAATCTCAAGCAAGTCAACTCAGGCTAGAAGTTTAGGCTTGGGACAGGCTTGGATAATTCTTTTTACCTTTCGGACTGAGCTTGGTTGTAGCCCTATTGGAAGGCCATGATGGGTCGTGGTAGTGTCAACTAGTGGTGGTGATGGTCAATTGGGTGATATATATATATATATATATAGAGAGAGAGAGAGAGAGGTGATGATGGTGGCCCAACAATGAAAGAAAAGATGAGGTGATACTGGAGATAGTTGTGGTGAGGTAGTGAGAAGTCATGATGGAATGTTGAGATTAGTTAAGGGTAGAGAACTTTGTTTGGGTGATAGATGAAGGAAATGAGGGCAGTATACACTACAAAAAAATTAACTTTTTGCGACGGTAAAATACCATCGCTAATACTCCTAATGCCGTCGCTAATACTTTTTGCGACAGCAAGAGGGGGTCGCAAATGGAGGGGTTGCAAAAGGCTTTTTGAGACGGCACAGTGCCGTCGCTAATGTTTTGCAACGACATTTTTGCCTTTTTGCGACGGCACTGTGCAGTCGCTAATAACATTTGAAATTTCTTGACTTTTTTGCGACGGCACAAATTTACCTTCGGTAAAAATGTTATTTGAGACGGCAAAAAATACCGTCGCTAATAGTCTTTTTTGCAACGGCAGAAACACTTTTTGCGACGGTGTGGTGCCGTCGCAAAAAGTATTAAAAATATGAAATTTTCCATTTTTGCGACAGTGTAATGCCATCGCAAAAAGTATTAAAAAATAATAAAATTTCTATTTTAAATAATAAAATTTCTATTTTTTGCAACAGTATAATGCCGTCGCAAAATGTAAAACCTGTAACAAAATTAATAAAAATATTAAAATTTTCTATTTTTTGCGACGGTATAATGCCGTCGCAAAAAAGAAAAAATCATACGATAAAAATATTAAAAATATGAAAAATTTTCCATAATAATATAAAAATAACAATTTCTTCACAATAATTACAAGTATGTCCCTGATTGAATTCTATAGGATATTAGATTGAATTCTTACTTTCATCCCTGATTGCAAGTGTGTCCCTAAAAATTACAGTTCACCCATGCCATGACTAGGTAACCATCTTTTTTGCTTCTCATGTTTCAGAGGAATTTTCCACGAAAAAAGTGCTCTCTAAACCGGAGATGAAAGTAGTTTTCCATCAGACCCACAACAATGGAAACAATAAATGACACATTAGCAACACACATTACCCTCAGAAATTGAAGTTGTTCGATGACATGAAAATCTGTTAAAAGGAAATGAGTTCATTGATTAAGCGGGCAACTGACTTAACCAGAACGTTGTCCTTGCAGAAACTACCATCATCATCCCACATGAGATGGCAATATATCTCATAGCGAAATATTCAACAGTATAGAAGCACAGAAATGGGAGTCTAAAAGCAAGCAAAACAAATGCCTATATGCATAGAGAACAGAGTATTTTCACATATAGAGTCCTTCTGGCACCCCCTCTTTCTTCTTGAACATGACCTTATCTTTAGCCTTCTTGAAGTCTGAATGCGTAACCTAAGGCACACATAGAACAATTTTTATTAGACGAAGTCTAAACAACATGCAATTGTATAAAGCATCCAATAATTTCTATAGATTTTGAATTCACAAGGACAAAGTTAAGGACCTCAAGACTGACGTGGACATATATATTTAATGGACAGGCAAACTCAGAGAAATAACTAACACAGTGGTTCATTTATTTACTCTTGTAATAATTAATTATCATTGAGGTTTTTGTTCTTGGTTAGTCTAATTATCATTAGTAGTATTTCACTTTGTTCTGCTCTTTCCGTAGTTGAAAAGGCAAAACTTAGACATCATGAGTTCACTAACATATACGAGGCCAATGTCACCTATGCATATTGTGTGCCTAAAAATTGAATACGAAGTCAAAAAAATCTGTACTTTGTGAAATTTACTAACCAAATAGATTCCAGTCTAATATTGTTGATTTCAGCTACGTTTGGTTCAAGGATTTGGGGATTAACATTTCACCTACATTTTCTCTTTCCTTTTCCAAATTCCTCCCCAAATCCATGAACCAAACACTGCCTTAAGGATTCCAAACAACCAGCAAAATAAATATTGGACTGGGGGATTTGCAACAGAATATGTCCACAAAACAGGCCATAATCTTTTTGATCAACAAAAACAAACAGGCCATAATCTGCCTCTTCATTTTTGTTTCTTCCTTTGTTTTGCTTCTCGATATTTTCCCTTCACAAACTCCCATCTTTTTTCTTTCTACAAAGTTGAAAATTAGATCTATAGGAGGGGACCCAATATAGTATAACTAAGGGTCTGAAAACACTAATCCTTACTTAAAGTTCATCTGTGTCTAATACTCTCATATCTCCACTTTACAAGCCAAAATTCAGAGCAGCCAAAAAGCATCATGTTTTAAGAATTAGTTGTAACACAGAATTGCAACAAACACAAATGATACACGTATAATTCAACAATGAAGTTGTCTCACCTTCATACGGCGCTCTCTTAGAGCAAGTAAACCAGCTTCAGTACATATTGCCTTTATATCGGCTCCAGAAAACTCATCCTTGGTCAGAACAAATTCTTCTAAGTTGACATCATCAGCCAACGTCATCCTAGATTTGTGTATCTGCATTTCTGACATAAAAGGTTTGCTTGGCACATAAGTTATCATAAAGATAGGGTTAATGGAAATCTATATTAATAATTAATCTTATATTTTCATAATCATGTCATGCATTTACCTGGAAGATGCGCCTCCTAGTCTTAATATCAGGAAGTGGGAACCTAAGTTTTCCTTCTATGATGCGGTTTAGCCCCATTATCAGATAGAAGTCAGATGGCATGGAAGGTTCCAATAGTGGATTTAACCATATTATAGCATTTTGTAACTAGAACCAAGGCAAGTACTAAACTGTTGTTCATAATGTCGACAGAGACTTAGTGTACAGATATTTGTACTCCATTAAAAAAGTCGAAGTGGGGATAAAGACTAAACTAAAGGGTAATGCATATTTGTAATCCATTAAAAAAGACGAATTGGGATAAAGACTAAACTAAAGGGCAGTTAAAAAAAATTAAATAAAAATAAAATTACTACAAAAGTTATCCAAATTGCTTACAAAATAATGAGAAATGTTATGTGTCACAAATTTTTTGTTACTGTTTTGTATCACCGCCTACGTGAATAATCATGACTGGTCATTAAGAAAATAATGAAAACAAATACTATCTTGCCATGTGTAACGCCCTCAAAATAATAACATTAAACCCATCAGATAAGACATGCATTTACATATAAACTAACCACATTCCTTTATTCCTTAGAGTTCCGAAATGTTATGTGTCACAAATTTTTTGTTACTGTTTTGTATCACCGCCTACGTGAATAATCATGATTGGTCATTAAGAAAATAATGAAAACAAATACTATCTTGCCATGTGCATGGAGATATCAAAGGTGCAAAAAAATGGGTCACATATATCAGTTCTCAAAAACTATAATTTAGCTTATGCAAAAATGAAATAAGTATACATGAATCTAGAATAATTAAAGGGTTAATAGACACCATAAAAAAAAATACTAGAAACCAAATATAAGGAATGAAAATCAAAATGGAATTTAAACAAGGCCTACACTAATGAATTATGAACAAACATTTTGGAATGAACTCCAGCACTAATGAATTACGAACATACAATGTGGAATGACCTATATATTCCTACAAGGAAAAATGCTAATGCTCCATTAGGCTGCCTAATTACAGCCGGCCAATTATTTCGTCTTAGAGAATCATGTGGTATTGTCCACGTGGCACTCCAGCCAATGAAGCAACATAAAATTTTATGGATGGTATAATGCTTACCCATGTTTGTTGGGTAGTTGAAAGACAAATGATGACCCACCTAATATGTTTTGTGGTTCTTAATTTGTTGACAGCACACCACATAGGCTAATGGCACATGGTAGTCTGGACAACCTAATAATTTTCCTTCCATGACACAAGAAATAAATAAAACTTGGTATCTCGTAAAAAGTGGGCAGGCAAGTTTGTCTTCTTATCTTCTGTGATTTGTTGGCTTCAAATTAAAAAGAAAAAAAAAGGATAGAGGGGTGGGGGTAATCATGAAGAACTTCTGGTTACGGCTAAGATTATGAAATTTATCCAATATAGTGATCGTTTCCCAAAATATGACTGTATCGTGCTAAAGATCATTTTAAAGCTATGCAGAAACAACCACTTCTCTGCATTTATTTCTCAAAGAAATCTAACAGTTGCCCACTTAGCTTACCGTCCATTTCTATCTTTCATCTCAACTTCATTGAAAATGCTTAAGATTCATATTTTGTTTGGGAAAGAAAAAAACAAAGTTCATTCTCGCGTTTGATCAAACACGTAATGCCACAAACAAAGTTCATTCATATTTACATAAATCTTTGATACATGGATGACCAATTTGAACCAAAATGAACACAGAATGGTCTGATAATAATCCGATCAAATAATCTAATATAAAAAATTACGAGAACTTACAGCCACACAAGGAGCAAAAGTAAACTGAGCGCCACGAGCCCTAACTTCAAGAGCAGTTGCAACTCCAATCCTCCTAACCAACTCTGCATCTCTGTCACACAAACTAACACTCTCTCAAGCAACAACAATAGTTACATATAATACCTAGTAGCTCCAAGGCCAATGTTGTGAGGAAATACAGTGGCACCGTAGACGTTGTTGTTGCCATGAACAGCGTCAGTACCGTAGAGAAGTGGAATCCCGAGGCGAGACTCAAGCGCAGCGTTCTGAAATCTGTTAATCATATCGATCCAATCGGACGACGTTGCTTTCTCGAACGGTCCACCACCGCCGGCGCTGAGAATACTCCCTGAGAAATCAATGAATCAAAGATCAAAGGAAAAAAATGCATAAAAACAGAGAGAGAGAGAGAGAGACCGATGGAGAGGTCTCGAATGGATTGAGAGGTTGGGTGTGAAGTTGCTTCACTGCACTGGTTGATCGATTTGAGTGATCTGGCCGATCTTCTCGGACAAGGTCATTCGAGAGAGTAAGTCTTTGATTCTGGATTCGATTGGGGAGTTAGGGTTTTTGTAAATGGGATTGTTGTTCATGTTCTTGGCTTTTCTACTACTACTGCTCATTTTGTTCAGCTTGAAGAACCAGGCGCGATGGATTGAGAGGTTGGGTGTGAAGTTGCTTCACTGCACTGGTTGAAGAGATTGGGAATTTTGGGTTTGGGGTGGGGGAAAACCCGAGCGGGAATGGGGGGGAAGGGATTAGGGATTTTTGAGATTGGGGATTTTGGGTTTGGGGTGGGGGAACCGAGCGGGAATGGAAAAGGCAGGAGGGAGAATGAAAATTTTTTTGGATTTTTTTTATTTTCATTATAAATAAATATTTAAATAATAAAATGACTTTTTTTTTTTTGAGAAGAAAGATGAGCAAGAGAGACGAAGAGAGAAGAAAGATGAGCAAGAGAGACGAAGAGAGAAGAAAGATGAGCAAGAGAGACGAAGAGAGAAGAAAGATGAGCAAGAGAGACGAAGAGAGAAGAAAGATGAGCAAGAGAGACGAAGAGAGAAGAAAGATGAGCAAGAGAGACGAAGAGAGAAGAAAGATGAGCAAGAGAGACGAAGAGAGAAGAAAGATGAGCAAGAGAGACGAAGAGAGAAGAAAGATGAGCAAGAGAGACGAAGAGAGAAGAAAGATGAGCAAGAGAGACGAAGAGAGAAGAAAGATGAGCAAGAGAGACGAAGAGAGAAGAAAGATGAGCAAGAGAGACGAAGAGAGAAGAAAGATGAGCAAGAGAGACGAAGAGAGAAGAAAGATGAGCAAGAGAGACGAAGAGAGAAGAAAGATGAGCAAGAGAGACGAAGAGAGAAGAAAGATGAGCAAGAGAGACGAAGAGAGAAGAAAGATGAGCAAGAGAGACGAAGAGAGAAGAAAGATGAGCAAGAGAGACGAAGAGAGAAGAAAGATGAGCAAGAGAGACGAAGAGAGAAGAAAGATGAGCAAGAGAGACGAAGAGAGAAGAAAGATGAGCAAGAGAGACGAAGAGAGAAGAAAGATGAGCAAGAGAGACGAAGAGAGAAGAAAGATGAGCAAGAGAGACGAAGAGAGAAGAAAGATGAGCAAGAGAGACGAAGAGAGAAGAAAGATGAGCAAGAGAGACGAAGAGAGAGACATAGAAAAAGAGAGAGACGAAGAGAGAAGAAAGATGAGCGAGAAAGACGGAAAGAGAGATAGAGAAAAGATAAATGAGCAAGAGAGAAGAGAGATAAAGAGATGAGAGAGATAGAGAGAAGAGAGATGAGCGAGAGACAAAGAGAGAAAGAGAAAGACAAAGACAAAGAGGCAAAGACAAAGACTGACAGACAGAGAAGAGTGATGAGTGAGAGAGAGAAGAGATGTAATATTTTGTGGTAGAGAAGAGGAACCGACAGTAGTGGTGAAGGTGGTGGATAAGAGATGATGGTGGTGGTGGTAGTGGTGATGGCGAAGGAGATTAGTGGTGAAGTTGTGGTAGTAGTGGAGTAGATGGAGTAGCAGGGGTGAAAGAGAGGTAATTGTAGTAGTAGTAGTAGTGGCAATAGTGGTAGTGGTGGTAGTAGTAATGGTAGTCGTAGAGGTGAAATGGCGACCGTGGTAGTAGTGGTGGTAGTGAAATGGCGTTTGCAGTAGTAGTGAAGGTGGTAGAGGAGATGAGTGGTGAGAGAGAGAGAGAGAGTGAGATGAGTGAGAGACACAGAGAGAGAGAAAAAAAAAAGAGATGAGAGAAGAGATAGATGAATGAGAGACACAGAGAGAGAGAGACAAATAGACAGACAGAGAGAGAAGAGTGATGAATGAGAGAGAGAAAGAAAAGAGAGAGAAAAAGATGAAAAAATGGGTGAAAAGATATAGACAAAGAGAGAGACAGAGAAAGAGAAAAAAAGAGCGAAAAGAGATAAACGAGAGAGAGACAGAAAGAGATGAGCGAGAAAGCGAGAGAGAAAAAAAGAAGAGACAGAGAAGAAAGACAGAGAGAGAAGATAGATGAAAGAGATAGAAAGAACAGAGATAGACGAGAGACACAGAGAAAAAGAGAGAGAGAGAGATAGACAGACGGACAGAGAAGAGTGATGAATGAGAAAGAGAAAGAGAAGAGAGACAGAGACATAGAGAGACGGACATACAGAGAAGAGTGATGAGTGAGAGAGAGACAGAGACATATAGAGAAAGGGAGAGACAGACAGACAGAGAAGAGTGATGAGTAAGAGAGGGAAAGAGAAGATAGACAGAGACAGAGAGATAGGAAGCTGAAAAAATAGGTGAAAAGAGAAATGTTCAAAAGAGTAAGACGACGTCGTTTATAGTGGATCGATAAATCGAGAAGGAGCTCGATAAATAGAGAAGATGAGAGTAAGAGAGTGAGCAAGGCGAACATAGTGAGGGAGAAATAGACAAATAGACAAGTAGAGAGAGAGAGAGAATGGTGGTGAGTGAGAGAGAGACAGGGAGAGAGAGAGACAGAAAAGAGAAAGAGAGATAGAGATAGAGATAGAGAGAAAGATAGAAAAAGAGAGAGAAACAAGAGATGAGCGAGAGATAGACAAAAAGAGATGAGAAGAGAGCGAAAAGAGATGATCGAGAGAAAGACATAGAAAAAAAGAGAGACGAAGAGAGAAGAAAGATATGAGCTCGATAAATAGAGAAGATGGGAGTAAGAGAGTGAGCAAGGCGAACATAGTGAGGAGAAATAGACAAATAGATAAGTAGAGAGAGAGAGAAGAGTGATGAGTGAGAGAAAGACGGAGAGAGAGATAGACAGAAAAAGAGATAGAGAGAGAGATAGAGATAGAGAGAAAGATAGAAAAAGAGAGAGAAACAAGAGATGAGCGAGAGATAGACAAAAAAAAAAGAGAAATAGAGCGAAAAGAGATGAGCGAGAGAGAGACACAGAAAAAGAGAGAGACAGAGAGAGAAGAGAAATGAGCGAGAGAGATAGAAAGATAAGAGAGAGAGAGAGAGAAAAGAAATGAGAGAGATAGAGAGAAGAGAGATGAGCAAGAGAAAACAGATGAGAGAGATAGAGAGAAGAGAGATAGGCGAGAGACACAGAGAGAAAATGAGAGAGAGAAACAGACAGACAGAGAAAGAAGAGTGATGAGTGCAAGAGATAAAGAAAAGAGAATGAGATAGAGACAGAGAGACATGAAGATGAAAAAATGAATGAAAAGAGAAATGTTATATTAAAAGAGTAAGAAGACATTTTTTTTAAAAAAAAATTTGTGATAGAATTTTGTGACTGTATATATGAAGCTGTCTCAAAACCACAATCACTATGCTAGGTTAGAGTTTTTCAAAAACTCTTTTGAGAAAATTATACTTTCTTGTTTTCCGTGTTATATTGTTTTTACTAAGTTTTTTAATATTTTAAGTATTTTTTTAAATTTTTAGACACACCTAACATAAATACATCTAAAAATTTAAAAAAATTGTAAAAAAAATCTTTTAAAAATTCACTAAATACCAAAAATACAATAATTCAATACATTTTTTTTGTATTTTTATGTATTTATTAATTTTTAAAAGTATTTTTTCATAATTTATTTTTTTAGATACATCTAAGTAAGGTGTATTTAAAAAAAATATTTAAAATTTTAAGAGTATTCACTAAAAATTAAAAAAAAAAACACGAAAGTTACTTTTTGCGACGGCAGAAAATACCGTCTAAAAAAGCAGAGTATTTGCGACGGCACCATTTGCCGTCTCAAAAAAGCAGAGTATTTGCGACGGCAGAAAATACCGTCGCAAATGCTCTGATTTTTTGAGACGGCAAATTGTGCCGTCGCAAATGCTCTGTTTTTTTGAGACGGCAAATGGTGCTGTCGCAAATACTCTGCTTTTTTGAGACGGCATTTTCTGCCGTCGCAAAAAGTGACTTTTTGAGACGGCAAGTGTGCCGTCGCAAATAGTTCCGTCTCATATACCCACTTTTCTTGTAGTGATACCAAATTTCTTTTGGTATAAGAGGGTTATAAAGTAATTTCATTTTTCTATTAAGTTCATTAGAAGATAAATCCTGAAATATTTATAATTTCTTAAATAAAAGAAAAATGTGTATCCTTAATAAACCTCAATAAGATGTCCATAATTAATCCTACAGAATAAAACAAGAACGACGACTTAAGAAAAAGAAAAAGAAAAAGAAAAAGAAAACACAAACACAAACACGCCCCATAAAATTGACAATTCATACCATTGGATTTAAACCAAGGGTATCTAGCACAATAAATAAATGAAAAAGTTTATAGAAAATTGACTTTGTGATGAAAGGAATGATTAAAAAAATAATAATAATAAATAATTTGATAAATTTACTTTTAAACTAAAAAGTCTATTAAAATAACTTATTATTGATTTAAAAAAATTATTATAATTTTTATTTTATTTTAGATAGTGTTTGCAAATCATTTATATATAAAAAAGGGAATTTTATGGGAATTATGTAATGTGTGTGGGATTTGGCGTGCAGCTGTGTTAAATTACGAGGAAGATGTGGCGGCGTACACAATAAAAGCAGCCACAGATCCAAGGGCTTGCAATCGAGTCATTTTCTATAGGCCCCAACTTAACGTTGTCTCTCAATTGGATTTGCTCTCTTCTTGGGAAAACAAAACTGGACGTTCTTTCAAAAGGACCTATGTATCAGAAGAATCAATCGTCAAACTCTCCGAAAGTAAGTGCTCTATTTGATAACTTTATTTATTTATTTATTTTTAAACTAAAAATATATTTGGTATGATTTATTTAAAATATAAAATGTTTTATATAGTTTAAGAAATTATATCATGTTCTAAGAAATTTTTAATTTCATAACATATGATCTCTTTTTATTTATAAATTATTAA